GAAGTATCTTTCCCAAGTTCTATCTGGGAACTTCACAGCAAATAAGGACTGATTTTTGAAAGCCTAAAACATGCACAGCTGCAAACAAAAATCAAATAATAATTGACTGCGGTGTCATCTAAGGGGAGGTTACAGAGAAAAGAGCAGGGCTCTTTGCAGAGGTGCCCAGTGAGAGGGCAAGGGGCAACAAACACAGTTGGCAGCAAGGGAAGTTCTGCTTCAGTAGGAAAAACACTTTCACTGTGAGAGTGGTCAGAAGCTGGAGCAGCAGCGCAGAGACCTTGTGCACTCTCTGCCCTTGGACATACTCAGAATGCGACTGGACACGGCCCCAAGCAACCTGATCTAATGCTGAAGTTGGCCCCACTTTGAGCAGGGTTTGGAGCAGATTCACTGTTTTTGTTGGCTATCGTTTTATAGATCTGTTTTTTTCATGAAAATACATGGCTTCATGAGCAGTGATCTCTCTGAGCATTCATTATTCAGAAAAGTTTGTCCTCCAATTACACAAGATCATAAGAAGAAAAGTGACTAGTTTGTCAGAACTGCAGTGCTAAAATAAGCTGCAGCAAGCACATTTCTTTGGCATGGATCTGGTGTCTCTAATTAGAAAAGCTCTGGAGAGTTAATCTGGAAGTGAGACCTATTGCTTCCTTCCTGCACAACATGAGATGCCTGGAGCTGAGTATCTCAGAAAAAGGCCTGGAGGCTGGGATACAGATAATGGATCTCTCTTATTTTTTTGGGAAATATATTTGTGTGTTTCCCAGACGTCCGGTTTGGTGTGCTGCTGTCAAGTGGCTGAACTGCAGCAGGGCTGGGAACTGACTTAGAGGCATGAGTTCTCTTAGGTAATAAAAAAAGTGCTGAAAGACCTAATCTCTGGAAAGTAGGTACTGCAGAGCGTGGAGCACCATCCAGCTACGTGAAATAAATGCCCGTGGAAATTCTTATTAGGCACGAACGAATGCGTGCACTGACAAGAACCCAAGACTGGACTGGTATCTTGTTTGGGAACTCGTACCTCCACTGTTACAAATATAGCAGCAGTAGGAGGGGAAGAATTGTAATAATTAGCCTGAGCAAGCCTCTTTCAGACTGAGCGCTGCACCCACACTGCAGAAAGATAGCTTCAGCATGCCAGGAAACGTACTGAAATAGCAAGGTTATCTTCTACTCTCATGCTAATGCTATCCAGAGCAGGAGGAGCAACTAATCAGACAGCTACAGCAATCAGCTAGGTTTGCCTTGGTGCATTATCAGTTTAATTATCTTGCAGTTCTTTCCATGTTGTTACTGGCCACAGTCGCATTTATTCTGGGAGGCTTTTCTGTCTGAGGTGGGACAAGTGTCTTAATTTCAGACACTGCTAAGGGTTGGATGGTAGGACCGGCCTCCAAATTTCAGGAGAGTTTGTGAAACGTTGGTATGCTTTATCAGTATGCGGGCCATCGGGACAGATGGCTCAACATTTCCTAGAAAACTTAAGAAAAGAAAAAAAAAATTCTCTGCTGTAGGTTTTACCTGAGTAGCGTCTTATTTGCTTATGTATCAGAGCAGAAATGTGTTGTCATCTTAAAACAGCAGGCTAACTAGTAGTATTGTTTGGCTATTATTAGGTTGAAAGTTGTGGTTATATGCTGAATGGACCTATCTCTGAGCTGAAAATCATCTATATCACTAAGGGTTCTTTAGCCTAATAACTGGAACTATAGGCTAGAAGTAAAAAACAAAAAAACCAAACATCCTCCTCCCCAAAACAATCCTTCCCTCCCCACCAAAAAAAATTAAATTGAGAAATGGAGTGTTATTTTTATTATTTAAAATGAGGCAATTCACCTTCAAAGGATGAGAAGAGATGGAGAGGAGTATCTGCCTCTTGAAGTCTTCAGATCATGACTTGGTACCTCTCTGATGTTTGTATCAGGCCAGTAGATGAAATTTTGCTGCCTTTGATAGAGGCAAACAACCGGTAGGTGACATGAGTTCTGTTAAACTTAGTTTCCTACATATTGCAGTAGCAACAATAGAATATACTTGCCCGCCTTATCCTTGTGCCTTACTCCTGTTTTTCTGTGGTTGCTACTGCAAATGAAAGATGGTTTAATTTCTGTCTCAGCAGTCCCTAGTTCCTCTTTTGAGACATCTACCACATATGACAATTTTGACGTAGATATTGATGTACTAGGATTGACTGATGATGACTGCCATTGGACAAAAATAATTTGCATTGATTAGTGACTTGAACCAAACTGGTTGATTTAAAAGCAAAAGCCTCATCTCCCTTGACCAGCATGCTTCGTTCTATCGCCTCCCAGCAAAACTTCTAAACCTCACTCCAGCTGAACAATTCATAAGCTGAAGACACGTTATTACTCTTTTATGGTGGACAGCTCGGGAAGGAGCAAGTACATGCATTGTCATCCCAGTGAATCTCAGTCTGGTTCCAAGAAAGCACAGGCTTTGCTGTGCTACCTCTTTTAGCACAACAGAGCTAGTGTTGGGGACTTCAAAACGCCTTTCTGAAGTGGTGGGCAGCTTTCTCCAGGTGCTCTACGACCATTCACCAGGTCGGCATTGGCTGATCCCTCAGTGATCAACCTCATGGTGATCTTTACCGTGTCCTTTTATTGATTAGCAAAATGAACTCCCTTTGCAAGTTTGACGGCACCATATTCAAAACTGGGACACGCGGTCTTGAGCTTCTGGGAACAAACCAGGCAACAGGCTGGATGCTGCCAGTACCTGCAGGTGGTTTGCGTACAGGAGAGGCTTCTGACAGTGGCCGCTCGGGCCATGGCTGTTCCACTTGTGGGTAGTGATGGTGCACACTGCTTGGCTATGGCCGGGAGCAATCACTGAGTCATTAGACAGCAAAAAGCCTCGCAGGACTCTCTCAGGCTTTAACCAGTTGAGAGCTTGCTCCCCGTGGCTACTCTTTCGCTCCTTCTAACCTGGAGATAGACGCTGCTAATTTCTCTCATTTTAATGCTGTAGTTACTCAAGTGTATCTACTTGTTAGTAACAGATTCTCGCATCTCAATTCTCTATATTTGCACTTTTCCTGTCTCAAGCTCTGCAGATAATAACAAAGCGATGCTGCAGGATAATTTTGTCTCTACTGTCAGACTACCTATTACTTTGAAAGCTACAAGAAATTCTTTGGTTATTGCAAGCAAACTCCTTGGAAATGTATAATTGATTATTCAAACCTCATGGTGTTGCTGCAGAGATTTGTGTGCCTCACGCTGACTTTGATTCCCAGATAGCCTGTCTCATGCTGGTCCCCTAATGCAGCTGACAGCATTAACTTGTGCAGTTAATCAAATGAAAGAAATTACTTCTCCTTATCCAAAGACCTGATGACTTTATCAGACTGGGAGGGTCTTGAACAGAAGGAGACAAAGAGAAGTAGCTGAGGTAGGAGACATCCACAAGGCTCAATATGCAGCAGAGTAGGAGTACTTTTAAAGGGTTCCAGGAATAGAAGAATATGTTGACTAATCTCTTGACAAAAACATCCATCTGGTTGGCACTTTACTGTTGCATTTTTCTGTATTAAGAAGCTAAAGATCAAGAATAAATCACATACATTTAATGATACAGAAAATTGTTAATTTAAAAGTGGAGAGAGAGCTCAGCTTGTTAGCAGGCTGTTTAGGAGTCTAATACAGCACACAGCACAATAATTCTGTAAAGGAAGCAGTTAGCAAAAATGGGAATAAAGTTCCATATTATCTGTGCATGCATGGATTTACGCATAATATTTCCATCAGTGATAATGAGGAATTAAAACGTAATGCATTCATGCATGAAAAGATGGGTCTTCTCAGGGTTAAGTACACGAAGGCAATGGATATTTTGCTAAATTAACTTAATTTCAGGAAGCGCATGTGAGGGAACATACATCTTCCTCCTTTTCTTGCTGCCCCATTGAGACAACGATCTGTGCAAGAGCAGTTAGACTATTACATGATTCCTACTGAAATTATCCAGCAACATTTATAAGCATCCTTGCAGGATTTGCTATGAGTAGACTCTGGAGTGTTGCATAGCTTCCAGTGCAGTTGGCTTCAATTTGTATCCTTCCTGTCATCTATTTTCTTCCCTTTATGAAGCTATTCTCTCCAATGCGTGATCTTTTTGCGTTTTTGAAAGGTTACTGGAGGATGTCGACAGAGGAGGGAAGGAGAGCGTGCAGGTCCTCTTCCTAGAAACCGAGAAATGGTCCTTTAAGAAGACTTAAACCAATGCCAAGCAAAACTGTGCCTGGTTCATGGGAGACAGACCTCATTCTGATCTCTACTGTGCTTTCTTGAACTTATAACAACCTTGCTACACTGAAATTATTCTTAAGGTTTCGCTAGTGATTGAGATAGAAATGTATCCCACTGGGAGGAAAAACACTACATAGGGGTTTGCTTACTGCACCGGGGTTGAAGTCTGACTGTTTTGTGAAGTTCCATTGGTTTTGTTCTCAGTATCATATACAAGCAAATAACCAAGTAAGAAATAGAAGGTATTTTCAACAGATGGTGGGGTTCTTTAGAGCGGTAAGTCCCCCAGGCAAGCTGATAAGCAGCAAATAGCTTTGCTTTTATGGGAGCTGCACCTCACAGGGTATAAAAACGTGCAAGTGTTTTACATGCATAGGTTCATATTTTACTTTAGATTTTGGTGAACAAGAATGTTAGCACTAAAAGTTAATGAATATTGTGTGGAATACAAGGCTTCCGGCTGAACATAGACTGAAATATTGATAAATGAGAGTTTTCTGGAAAATTGTGTAGTAGTTTTTCCAGCAGATGTTTACACATGCTCCTCTCTGTTTAGGCACGATCTTACTTAACTTGAAATCTGCTGATAAAACCATTGTTAACTGAAGTCTGAAATAACTTGCTGTTACAATTGCAAAAGATGCCACCGTTTTAGGAATAACATACTTAATTTTACTTAGTGTTATAACTTGTAAATTCTGACTTTCCTCTTTTTTCTTGTAGTTTTTAGCACAGCGTGTATTATGGCATTCCTTCCTGTGGCGACTGGCCAAGGCAACGAAATCCTGCTCTGACTAACCCTGATGCTCCTTTTCACCTCGCTGGAACCTGTGCGCTAGCTGCTGTCTCCTGCGCCTCCTTCCTCAGACCGTTCCTCCTGCACAACAGGAATCCTCTCAGTGCTGGAGCGGTTACTTAGTCTTCCCAGTGGCTGGGGCTTTTCAAACGCTGCTTTCGTCAACAGTTATGCTTACCTTTGAAAATGGTGAGATTGAAGCAATTGTACTGTTAATTTTTTTGGACTGCTCTCTTGCTCTTGGGTTGTTCTTCATTTATGTTTTGGACTATATACAGCATTCAAGGTGAGTGCCATTCTTCCCCTGAACGCAATGGCATTAAGAGACTATCTGTTGGCTATGGTCAGCTCCTTCAGCGTTCTCACTGTTGGGCTGTTCAAAGGTTCCTTTTGCTACTTTTGACTCTAATATCACTGATCGCAATTGCTTTGACCTTGGAGAACACAGAAGTAACTGGCTCCTGCGTAGCAACCGCTATCTGATTTGTTATTCCTCCTTTGCTGGTTAACCTGGGCTGAGAAGGTGCCCAGCTGTATGCCATGTTTGTATATGGCATGTCTCTCCATTTCAGCACGATCTCTGGATAACACTAGTCATCATTTTTGCTGTATTTGCTGTAATTACTGTCACAACATTGTATGTAGCACATCCTATTGAGTAAATGGTTACTAACATTATATAATTGATGCATAAAGAAAGTAAAGAAGTGATTATCAACGCCCAGGAAAATTCATAACTTATTACTAAAAACGGAAGTGTGACATCTCACGACTTATTAACTGGTTCTTGGTCAGGCGCCCATTACACAGAATTTCAATGTGGTATATATTTATTTTAAGTCATAACCTATTTTTGCCCTTAGGAGGATTTTGCAAACAGAACTCTATGTTGCACTATACCCGTTGTGTAAACATTAGTAGTAGCATAAAACATGTTCTAACCAACTGCTTAGGAAGAAGGGTGAAATCCAGCCAATTCTACTATATTTCTATATATTTAATAAATTGCAAAATACTTTGCAGTAGGAAGTGAATATGATGAATGTGTCTGCGGTGCGATGATGTGTATCTGTGTCCTGGATGCTCTTTAGCGTACGTCTGCAGTCATTGGCAATATTTGCTCTCGATGCTAAGATGTTTGCATTGCATGACAACTTTCCCTGGTGTCTAGCTCTTCCCTGGATAAAGTGGGACGCATTCAGGTCACAGCTGTTGTACCTGTGTGTGTACTTACAGAAACTCGCTTACCTACCTTACGGAAGTGTAAGGATAAATAAGCTTATTAAGTCCTTTACAATGCTTAGATTTATTAATAGTAACTATGAACCCCACTGTGATCTCACTGTAAATAAGAGCTCACTGTGATATTGATGTGTGTAACTCTCCTCAGTACACATTATTTTTCATAATAAACCCTGGTTAATGAGACATTAACGTAGTGCACCATCAAGGCTATATTTGCATAGGATGCACATCACAGTTTCCTGTGCTTTTGTGGTGCTCTATATTCATTTGTTTATTGAAAGTAATCAAATTTTATCACTTACGCATTTATTTTTTTAAAGTCTTGAGAAAGAATTTCCCATGACATCATGCATTTGCCATTATTGAGGAAAACTGGCACAGCTCACTTTGATGAATTAATCCTTTTCTGACACGTTTTCGCAGTATCGTGGCAAAATCTGTCAGGGTGCAGCAAGGCCTGGGGGCAACAGGGGCTCCCCTTGGCAGCAGGGCCAGACCTGGCCTTGCCGCTGGGGCCCGTCCCACTCCCCCACGCAGGAGCCCCAGGAGCTGGAGGTAAAGGATGTGACTTCTCCTAGGTATGGAAGTTACCAAACAAGTCGCTGGCCTGTTTCACAGATATTGGAGCAAACAGTGGAAATAGTGCGACAGATAGCGTCAGGAGATCTGAATGACTGAAAATAAGTGGCGCATGGATCTTTCTGCAAATGTTTGATCATGAAATATTCACATTTGTGCTGGGGAGCTCAGACTCATGGAAGTGTTAAGTCAGCATGTGCTCTTCCATTCTGGGGGTTTTTCAAAGATCCCTTAAATAAATAAAATCTAAGCCCCTTTAATTACTACAGGACTGACCATTTACCTCAAAAAAAACCCCAGACTCTCTGAGTATAAAAGGTGACAACTGAGCTGCCATTAACGTTCAGACTTTTCATGGCCTAAGTGGCTCTCCAGGGTATCTAGAAACTTTTGTAGAGCTAATACTAAGATTTTTTTATTGCTGTAAGCGATACGACTTAGCTAGCTCAAAATTCAAGAGTTACGCTACCATTTTCCTTTTCATTTGCGAAGCTTCATTTGTGAAGCTTCCCACTGAAATCAGTAAGACAACTGGTGAAATTGTATTTGTTGGGTACTTGTGTGGTCCCAGAGGTTGTTTCAGAATGAAAATCTTGCAGAGGAAGATTTCCTAGTGGCTGTTTTTTAATCTTGAAACCTCTTCATCTAAATCACTGCCACTTATTTTCTGGCTGTACTGCAGTTTCTCCTTGTGCTGAGCGTCTAGGCCGATTCCATTTACTCGCCCTGGCATATGTGAGTTCAGAATGGAGAAATCTCGCTCCCAATGCACATGCCCTGGCAATGTGCCCGCTCACCCTGCAAGGGGCAGTCTGCTCTGGGCAGATACCCCTTGTCTTGCTGAACACCTGCAGCTCTGCATGCACATCTCAGGACACGATTCAAGCTGCATGATTTTCTAAAGAGAAAGGGGCATTACAAAGGCTCCTTTACAGCAGTGTGCTTATATGATCCAAGCACTGCCTAAATGCTCCTACAAGGGATGTTAAGAAAGTCTAGAGTTAAAAATGCAGTACAGGTATTAGATTTTAGACTAATTAACTGTTCCTCAAACGTCTAAGGTGAGATTCTACACTTAATTTGGATTTAATAAGATATCGATAGCTGACCTATCCCGACACCTCTCAAAGTTCACTCGTACATTATTAAAGTGAAGAATATGTTGATCCTCCTTTGGTAGGAGTAATAATTTTTTTTCTAAGTGGGCTTTGGGGGGTGAATAAACGATGGTTGTCTGTTGATGGCTGGTAACTAGTTGCAATTTGTTTATGCTAATATCAAGTTAAACCCGATGGCCCCGGTTGTCAGTATCGACAGTATGAAATTATGAAATATATTTGCTTGGGAGTGCTGTTACTGGATCTGTCCTCTAGTGCTTCCTCAGAACAGCCTTATCAGTGTTTGAGCACATCTGGGGAAAGCTTTCTGTATTTTTATTGAATGTGTTAAGTACCTCAAGCTTCTCCCAGGGCAGGCAGTGATACTAGTGAGTGAGTTACTCCTGCTATCACTTATTTCTCGTTTTGAGGACAATGTCTTACAAAATTTGCTAGATCCTGGTCTCCCAGGAACAAATCAATACCTCCACTTGCTTTTCCCACTTTCACATATTGTGTTGTTTCTATACTTTTTGTAAGAAGCACAGTCATAGTACTTGCCTATCTTCCTACTAAAGATTTGCAGTAGTAAAACATGGCTGTATCCCAGAAAACTTACTGTGGATTAAAAAGCAACACGAAGCATGGCCACACTTCCTGTCCTCTGAACTGGAAGGAGAGCTGATGTATGCTATAAGGGCTGATCCAACAACAGATAAACTGAAGTTTTTATCTAAGCTCAGAAGCAGTTTTTCTTTAATATTTGATAAGGACTGGTGTCTGTTGATCCTCAGACATATGCTGAGACACCAGAGAGTTCAGGGGCTCTTTTCTAAAGAGATTATGCTCCCACAGTAATAAAGGAGGGGAATTTAAAAGTTTTAAATGGAATCTGCAAGAGTAAATAGTAGCACAAAACAAGTAAGAGTTGTGAAGTTCATTTATTATACTAGGCAATTATGTAATGTATTACTATGGCAGTAACAAGGGAATAGGAAATAAATGTGACACAATACATGTTTAAATATGAAACTAAGATTTTAGTTCAGTGAACACTGCCTGATGGTCAACTTTCTAGGGAGCACAGTCCTCCCCAGTTTATGGGAATTCAGGGATAATTTGGGGGAATTTTCAAAGAAGGTTTTTGGCATCTAGATAATTGGTTATTATTAATATTAATCTGATCTATTTAGGATATATAAACATACTATAATTATAAGTTATCCTATACAAGTTCACAACTACACCTGCTGGCCATTTTGTGACTAAGTGGGCTTTCTGTCCTCTGTCCGGGAAAAGCCTCAGATAATTTTTTTCTTCTGAATCTTCTCTCTGCCAGTGTTTCCCATCCATCTTATCATCTCTTAACATCACTAAAGTGAAGCTCAGTACAGGCTTCCACAGCGGTTACTCATACTTGGAAAGCTTTTATTTATGTCATTGTCATGTTAATTATACTATCGTTATATCAGTAAAGATTATTTTATAGTATTTCTCTTATTACATAATATACTCAGGTTCTCTAAGACAAATATGATTAAATAAATCCACATGTTAAGCAATTTGTCTTCTGTAGATTGCCTGTAACAAGCATGCGACAAACTGCTAAACCAGCAGGAGTCATATGCAAAATCTAATTTAAGGAAAGAAGAGATGAAGGAAGAGCATTTGAAATACAACTGCAAGCACAGAGGAGGGGACGTCAGTTCCTTGTCAGACTTTCTTTTTAATCTGTTCTGTGAACAAAGCAATGGGTGTTCATTCTGTCTGACTTTGAGATTAGCCCTTTACAGAAGGATGATTTTTAAAAGTAGTCTTCCTCCTCCTGTGCCTGTCATTCCAGGCAAATCACTCCTGCCCTTGAATTCCATTTCTGGCTTCCTGTTATTGCAGATCTGCTGAGTGGTAGTAGCCTTCTGGATTAGGAGTAAAAATAGAGTCCTGATGTAACTTGCTTTGCTTAAATATATCCGTATTCCAGATACAGTACAGAAATAGCCATACAGCATACAAACAGTTTTAGCCAAAACACCAGGCTGAGGGACCCTATCAACTGCAATAACTGAATCTCCTGTGTTGAAATTTGATTTGCTTGAGAGTGTTTGCATGGGCATTGGTGTAGCAAAAGGCACTGGGATGAGCAAGTCTTAGGACCTATTATTATAAGTAATAAGTTTTTCCAGGAGCAATGGTATCAATGAGGCCTGTTTCTTCTGGGTTTATTTATTTTTTCTTACATCCTGGCAATATTCCTTAGTTACCTACTGACATTTCTTTGACTGCTCCATCCAGTATGTCCAAGTCCTCTCTATTTCCTCTCATAATCTTCCACATCTCTCCCACAGCCTTGTGCCCCAGCAGAGGGGCCCTTCATATCGACTCTCCACCTATTTTGGCTTACCAGCTGGGCAAAAGACATCACATGCTGTGGTTATTTAGAGATACATAAGTATGGATGGATCCTAGAGTAGGCTTGTGCTGATTGTCCAGCTGCACTCTGCAAACCAAAGTGAATAGATGTTGCATTGTTTCTGCCTTTCAAAGTTGACTTTAACATCTCTGAAACCACTATTTATTCATTAAATTAAGTTGAAATCAGCCAGCAGACCCAAAAGTTATCAGAGTGGACAAACAGGCAGGCAGGCAGCCCAAGTACATTGACTTCACTGTCTTGGGAAATGAGGCTAAAAATAATAGCATATTTATTTCTGGAAGATTGAAAGTAGGTTTGATCTACCAGTCTCTTTAGCTAATGAGGGTAATGGAAATGAGATTACATTGGCTGATTTTTTAGTCCTGGTGATTGTTAGTTGTTGGAGTTTTCTTCGGAGTAATTAAAAAAGATTTTTTGTCCTGCTTTATTTGACCACAGTAGATTTTACTTAACTATCTCAAGACTTTTTTTAAAATCCTTCTGAATAGAAGGAAACGCTAGTTTTCTCTATGAAGTTGTTGATTTGCAGTGTAAGATCATGAAGCTAATCTTATAAAGACTTTGTGGAGACTTTCTGCTGTCCGTGTCTCTATGCGTGTACAAATTCTACT